TTTACTCCCTTTACTGTGGGGTAAGAGCCTGTTTCCACAGAGGAAACATATTGGAAATGTGCCAAAGCATATTGTGAACCCACATCCTAGTTTGCATATAGTCACACAGCCAGAGGGGAGCAGTGGTGGCTGAAGGAGGTGCCGAAGGAGAGACAGAGGAGGAGGGCAGGTGTTACTGTGCTCCTTGTSTTTAAATTCTCAGTATTCTTAAATAACAAACTAAACCCCCAAACTGTAAAGCTACAATGGGACAAACAAACAAAATCTCTCAAACTAAACAAATCCCCAAACAGCCAATCCACTTCTATAAACTTTTGCAGGTAAGGTTTGTTTTACTTGATTCCTTTGAAGATGGTGCTATTGCAAGGCCACAGTCCCTCACAAAAAGCTGGCTGCCTCRTTCCTTCTGTACCTTTTGTGCCTGTTTTGCATCATATTTTCCCTCCTCTGATGGCACATGACAGGCACTATGTTAAGCATGATTTTTATGCCGGCGCCATGCTGCTTGTYTTTTTTCATGTGTTCAGAGCTGCTTTGGCTGCTGTCCAGATGCTCACCTGGTCTTGGAGCTCTGYTGTGAGCCACAGGCTCCTGGGTGGCTTTGGAGCTGGGAGATCTGTGTGTAGCTGCTGCCTGGGTGTTGCTGGGCAGGGGAGTTTGAGGAGCATTAAGTGAGATGTTTAYGGGCAAAGAACTCAAACAAATGAGTGTCAATAGCTGAAGCACGTTTGGTGCTGATTTGAAACTTCCCAAAATCTTTGAGGTCTCGGACACTCCAAAGTCTGTTGTCACTCACTCAGTGTTCTGGCAGGGCAGGATATTGGAAAATGTCATGCAGTTATGTCATGGTTCTGCAACCTGGTTCTTGCATCAGTGCTGAGCAAGRGCCCTTGTTCTTCTGTTGTATTCCCCTAGATACCAGGCAAGGCCATCTGCCAGCAAGGGTTCTGCTTCACTGATTGATTTCCTCATGGAAGAAATACCTCAGGCTCCTCAGAGTGCTGAGTGTCCTTGTATGTCCATCTCTGTTTGGGTTTGGGTAGGTTCAGCCCTCTGAATGCCTGCCCAGCAGCCATTCTGGAACAGAGCAGAAGCACTTGGGATGTTCTCTGTGCCCATGCCTGGGCTCCATCACACTGCCTGGGCACACTTCCCCATGCTTTCCCTGTGCTTTGGTTATYACAGCTCTGTGGTGTGTTTAAAGCCAGGAGAGATGGGCTGCAAGCAGGCTGTTGGTGTTGAAGTGGACATGGGTGGCTTATCTGCCTGCTGGCATTTTGGTTTGTCACTGAAGGTGGATACACAYCTGAGTCCAGGCTCTGGCTGTGGTTCCACCACCACTGCCATGAGTTCCAGTGGGCTTTCTTGGTGGATATATTATATTGCCTCTCTACTGAGGCTGCCTCTCTRTGATGAAGGCTTTTCACATATTGCAAATAGCATCTGAAAAGCTGCTTTTAAAATGCAGAGTGCTTCTGTGCTACTGAGAGGCTTCTGCTGGGTTGTGCTTCTTGGCCACAGGTCTTGTTACTACTCTTCATGCCCTAGGTCTTGGAAGGCTTGGGCAGTGTCAACCACAAAACAGCTTTTGGAATCTGTGAGTGTAATCTCTGCAAGCCTCAAGCTTCCTTGTGGTCTGGAGTTGGGGTCAGTAGCAGTGGTATGTCTTGCACCTCAYTGAGTTTAATGAATTGTCTCTTAGACCAGGCTTGCAGGAGCTTTGTGTTGGCCTTCCCTCTGGGTACAGCCTCTTCTCTCCCAGCTCCTCTGCCCCTCCTACATGAAGACTTTAAATGCTGAAATATAAGCTGCTTGACAAGGGAATACAGATGCATTTGAATGCTTTGTACATTGTATTTACCTTCGTGTGTAAAGTCCATCCCTCTGACTCTTTCTGACTGATCRTAATTAACTTGGCTTGGACCTGTTTTGGGAAGTAGTCTCAAACTTRAGAAAAGCCTGAGCATTATTCATGCGTGAGCTCCACTTAATTTACCCTAGTGCCTCATAAATCAGCTGGGTGCAAGGATTGCATGTTCTGAGAATGGAACAGCACTCAGGRGGTGTCTGGGTCCTGTTTTGGGACCTGCAGACTCACATGGCAGTACAGATCCAAGCTGAGCTCCTGCTGTTGGCTTAGGGTTCGGCTTCCCTCCATGACTGTATCTTGCTGCATCCTTTCTGGATACCAATGTTCTCATCTAGTCCTCCCTTGCTCGCGTGTCTGAGCCAGTTCAGCTTAGTAACCCTCTCCCCAGCAATGCATTCCTTCAGGGACATTTGCTCTGAGTTACTTTAAATTTTGCTTGAACTGACTTTTTACCTCCTCTCCCACATGAGGAGGTGAATAAGGAGAATGGGGKATGTGAACTGACATTAGGAAGGGTGACTTCTGGCAAATGTCTAGAAAAAAGTTGTGGGTGAAGCTATTGTATATTTGGGTACGCCACTTGTTTGGGCACCTTCTACGCTGTGCATTTTGGGATCTCTTCCCATCTTTTCCCTCCCTGCTGGAGTGATGCGATTGCTCTGTACCCTATGCCTGTTGATCTCTTCTGAGCACAGTGATAACAGAGGGACCCTGCACAACATGATGGTGTCTTGTCCTCTCATCTCTGTTGCCATCTGGACAAAGCTCCWAGCGAGTTGGTAACAGGAGTGCTGGTGTCTTCTGGCCAACAGGCAGGCAGAGGAGCTGAGGGCAGGGCACAGGTGGTTTGTTAAGAACAGCTCTGCCGGATCTCACAAAGCAGCTGGCGAAGCAGGTTGGTGTCACCTGARTGGTGAGCCAATGGAATCCTGCCTTTGCCTGTGGCTGCTTATTCCCAGAAGTCTGCAGGAGAGGTGGAAAATGAGTGTTAGCTCTGGGATCACTAAAGCGACTTTTTCAGGGATTTTCWTGGGAATTCCAGCATGCTCTGGTTATTGTTTGAACAGCAATGTTGAAGCTGGGTGGATTGCTTGCCAGTGCAGAAAGATGGGACTGTGGGTTAGGGCTTAGCCTTTRGCCTAGACTATAGGCTGGAGCTGTTGGTTTGGATGACACTTCAGACATTTTCCACTTGGGGACCATTGTCCTGTTTGTTTTCTTGAGTGGACTGAGAAGGTTTTTCAGGCCGTGTTGGGGTCAGGTGGTGCAGTTAGTTGAGCTCAGATTTTTGTCCTTGCTCTTCTTTCTATCCTGGTCCCGTGTTGTAACAACCTTGAGAATAGTGATCTTTAAGKCAAATCTGTTTGCTCTGTGTCCCATAAACAGCACAAATAGCTGAAGACAAACAGACTTTTGAGGGGCAGGTGAAATATTCTGTATTTTGTAGGCATTTCAAGGATTTCTGAGAACATGTGTTTCTAGAAAAGTGTGAAGGACAAGAGTTTGGAGGTTAAAAAGGGCACTTGCATTAGAGGGGCTCAGATGGTTGTAGCCTAATCTGGGTGCTTCGAGCCCACGGAGTACAGCGCAGGGCACCGAAATGGCCCTGGGTGGGTCCCACCCCATGGGCAGGCGTGTCACTGACATTTGAATTGGACATTTGAATTGCAGCACTCAGCAGGAGGCATTGAAACCCTTTGCTGTGTCCGATCCAGAGCCTGAGTGACAGCMTGTTTTGCTTCACTTTAAAATCTTCACTAGATCACTGTGAAAGAGCATGGAAAAGACAAATAGCCTCTCCTTTCTTTTTCTATTTATTTTTCTTTTTAAACAACATTATCGGGATGGTGACATTCCGCATTTATTTTGGCTAGTGTAGCTCTTTCTAGTAATTTCAGAGTAGCTCTCCCCCCTCCTGGGTTTTTTTTGGCTTGCAGTTAACAAAGTGCAATCGAGCCCGAGCAATTGGCTCGTGTCGATGCCGAGCATGACTTCAAGTATCCCGGTACAACAGCAGCGTGCGAGGTGGAGTTGGGGACGCATCCCGGCATTTCTCCTCTTTCCGTCTTTTCCTTTCTTTCGGAGCCACCTGTTAGCGCTGCACCCGCGGCTCCCGGGAGCGCCACCRCCTCCCGCCAAAGGCGTCGCACGGAGTAGTGGCTCGGGCATTGTTTGCGCTCAAAGAGCTGATGTCATGCCGGCTGATGTCATTGTGTGCTTTGTGCGATCGCCATGGAAACCGGGCAGGTGGGGAGCCTGCCGCTGATGTCACTGCAGAATGAGGTGTAGAAAGAAGGTCCACTTTGCTCGCTCCGGCTCTGCGAAGCTGCCCTCCTGAAAAAAAAAAAAAAAAAAAAAAAAAAAAAAAAAAAGAAAAAAAGAAAAAAAAATAAAGAGGGGAAGGGAAATGGTCCTTGAAAAAGCCAGCAAAAAAGCACAAAGCAGGGAAGGCATGAGCTTCCTTCACTGAAGAAGTGACTTCTCCCTCCCCCCCTCAGATTCATTTCCCAATCCATATTAATGTCCTAAAAATAACTCTTGYTAGATATTTTCAGGCGGCCGGGGCAGCACAAACAGAGCTGTTTGCCACATGTTGAACAAGCACCTCAGTCGCTGTTGGGTTACAAGGAGTGGTTTTCTTTTGTTTGGGTGCACAGACRGGTACGCGCTGTTCCCTGGAGCGATAGCTCACCCTGTAGGGGTGAGCTCTGGGGCAGGGGGATGCCCTGCRTGGCTCCTAAAGGGCAGGTAAAGCTAAAACTGTCCCTGCTGGCTTGCTGCTCTGCTTTAGTGTGCTGATAGCCCGTTTGCCCCTAGTTTTGGTGATGTTTTCCTTCTTGGAAAAGCAGCTTCCTTGCCACACAGGCCGGTAGGTGAGGCGGCCCCAGCAGGCTGATGTTGCACAGAGGCGTGTTTGTCTGCGAGCCCGTTCCTTGGCACCGTCCGCYGCACGGAGGGGAGGACAATGCCTGCTGCTGATTCATGCCACCCTTGCTGTTGACAGCCCAGTGCCACTGTTACGGTGCTGGTGGGGACAGCAGAGCCAGCTCCAGCCCCGGTGGCCCCATTGTGTGCTCTGAACAGACCTCGGGGTGTCTAACCAAAGTATCTGCTTGGTCTCTCTTCCCAGGAGGGCTCAGCGGTTTCAAGCAGAACCACGAAAACCTCTGCGACAACTCCCTCCAGCTACAAGAGTGCCCCGAGGGGGGAGGAGGGGGCGGCGCCTCCGCTGTGCCCCCCGTGCTACCTCAGTCCATCCCCACCACGCCAGACATCGAGAACGCTGAGCTCACCCCCATCCTGCCCTTCCTCTTTCTCGGAAACGAGCACGATGCTCAGGACTTGGAGAAAATGCAGAGGATGAACATTGGCTACGTCATCAACGTGACCACCCACCTGCCCCTGTACCATTATGAGAAAGGCATGTTCAACTACAAGCGGCTCCCAGCCACTGACAGCAACAAGCAGAATCTCAGGCAGTATTTTGAAGAGGCTTTTGAGTTCATTGGTAATTATCCTTGCCTGGAAATACTCCTGTTTGGTTTTTTATTTTTATTATTTTTACCGRTTACAACAATCTAGAATGAATTTTATGCTTTGCCAACAAATCTGAAGGCTGGCTAAGGCCATATTTGCTTTTGTTTGGGTTGTCAGAAATTCTGAGCACCTCATATTTCTACCCTTTCTCATCCCTGGCATATCCGGTTAAGTAGCCTGAGGTTACAATTTTTATCCATTGATAATAGTGCCTACCTCCAGGCTTCTAAATTCAGGAAACCCCAGAAAATCTGAGACTTTTCATCACCCCCCTTCTTGATTCCTTTGCMTTCCTAGTCTCCACACAATGGCTTTCAGCCAGTTTTTTGTAGTAACTGTTCTTAATGGTGTCTCAGTCTTTGCTAACTTAATGAGAAAACTGACAAACTTTCACACTTGGCTTGTTCCACCATTAGATTTATAGCTTCAGAGTGTATGTGTGGTTGAGTGGATAGTGATGAAAACTTGCATTAATAAGCCTCTAAACTCTGTAGGCTGTATGAGAGTTCACCACAGACATGCAGCTTGTTGTGGAGGTTGCTGAAGAAGCGACCCAGCAACTTTGTTCTGGATCCTGTTACAATCAGCGCAGCACAGCCCTCAGCCAGGTTTAGATCCACACTCAGCTAGGCTGAAGCCAGATGGCCCTGGTCAGAGAGGACTTCAGCATGTGGTACTGAAAGCTTTKGAGGACCTTTCCTTGCCCCACTGGATGTCTTTGTGAACTCTGCTTTAGTGGCATAGTGAAGGTGCTTCCCCAGTACATGCCCTGAGATGTTTTCTGAAATTTGCTTGGGGTTCTGCTGACATAAGATTCTCTTTTCTAATGCTGAAGCTGAGCAAATCCCTTTACCAATACTTCAGGCTTGAGGAGTACTGGACGATCCTAGACCAAGGAAGAAGTGTGCTTCCATGCCGCAGCACAGCGTAGGTCCCTGACTGACCCCGTACTGCAGGAGTGCAGAGCTGTGTTCCTCCCTGCCCTCCTTGGTGCTGGCTCTGCACTCAGGTGCTCTAGGGCTCGGCAGGGATTTTTCCCCAGCTGTGGGATGGTGCCAGGGCAGGAGGGCCAGGCTCAGCGTGTTGCTGTGAGCCCATCTGCCCCTGCCATGTGCCGGAGCTCTGAGGCAGACGGCTCCTGAGCCTGGCCTGGCTGTGTTTGGCAGGGGGTCGTGGTGTGCTGATGCCTGTGCTCTTTCACCACGCTGCTTTAGTGAAGAGAATGGAGAAATTGCTGCTTATTTTGCAGTTCAGGTGGAGGGCAATATTAAAGCCTGASTTTTACCACGGGGAGCCCTTGGGCTTGTCTTCTACGGTGTGAAGGACCAAAGCATTTCTGCTTAAMCTGAAACTTTCCCCTGTGTTGCTAACTCAGCCCCAGCTCTGCCAGTGGCACTGTCAGCTCCACGAGTGCTGATTATTGTGCGCATGGGAAGGTGAACATCCCTGTTGGGGTGAAGGGCAGGGGAGAGGGAACCTTGCTTTGATCCTCTGGGAAAAAAGCTGTGTCAAGGAATCCAGTGAAACCTTAAACTTTGAGTTCAATGAGATGAGGAGGTGCAATAGGACAAGCTTAGGTAAAGAGACTGAAGTTCCACTGAGGTCCTTCTGAGGTAGAAGAGGGAGATTTCTCATCTCCTCGTCCCCATGAACTGCAGGATTAGAATTCTCAAAACCACTCAGAGATAGTGTTTGGCTTGTGACCCTACCAAGGGCATAAAAATGAGCTTTGCTTCTCGGGAAAGGTTTAGAAAGCGTTTCAAAACCCATTTTACTTTTTAATAATTACAGCTTGAGGGCTCTGTCTTTGTTTTTAATAAACAAATATTTCTCCATTGAGAGTTTTTCTCCATATCAAATTTAGCCAGCTGGGGAAGTAACTAGTCAAAGCTTTCCCTTCCTCAGGGTAAACTTTAAATTGCATTTGAGAAGATTTGGAAATGTTTAAACAGCAGATTGTTGGCTCTATGTTTCTTTAAATATGTCTTCAAGAAACCACAACCAACCCCAGGTTTAGCTAAACTAAGGCCATAGGAAGTGAAATCATCARAAACTCTCTGGGAAAGTGTGTCAAAATGCATTAGAGAGTTTCAGCTTTCTGAAATACTAACTGGCAAAAATGTCTAGAGGGAACTTGGCTTCATTTATGCTTTCACAGTACAGGTTGAACATGTGGGGTGGGATGAACTGTACTCTTAGTGGGGTTGGATTCATGCCAAAACCTGCAAACCAAATTCATGCTCCTCCTGTGGATTGAAACAAAGGAAGTAGATTGAAGTGTCACTTCCTGAAAGTTCTGTCTCCCRTTTTAAAAGCAAGCTTTGGCAGATGAGAATGGTGTGGTAGTGACTCTTCTCTCACATGTCCCATAACTGTGTGGTTACAAGGACTCTGTGCCCCTAAATTCTGCCCAGGGTGCCTCCCTCTAAGAGATGAACCTTGTTAGAGAAGGGAGGGTGTGTGTGTGTGTGTGTGTGTGCAGCTCCTGCTTTTGCAGAGGCACCACAGCAGAGTGCCCCACTCAAGCCCCTTTCAAGAGTAGCCATGTAAAAGCTTCAGAGAACAGGGCTTTGAAACAGATGCGTTGTTATGAATTGAATCTGCCAGTGCCTGGTTTTTAAAAGATGGTGCCCTGCTTTGAAAGGCAGGGAGGCTGAGATGCTGATGTAACGCAGTGGTGTTGTGACTGAGGTGGARGTGGAGCCCGAGATTCCTCACCATGGGCCTTGCTCTCCTCATGAAATGCTAGCTGGCAGTGCAGCAACATCTCTCARTGCACAATTCCTCTGTTAATAAAGAGATAAGAGTGGATGTGAGGATTTTCAGTGTCAGACTGCACTGGAGCTTTCACATTCTGTAGCTCTGAAAACTCGGAGAAAGATGGGCTGGAGGGGCAGGGGAAGAGACGCCGCTGTGCTCATTATCAAAAAAGGGACTTTTCACATTAAGTTACTCTTAATTGCGCTGAGCTTGTTCTAATCTACAAACTGGCAAAAAGATCTTACTTTCTTCTGTCTTTCTKGTTTGCAGAGGAAGCTCATCAGTGTGGAAAAGGTCTCCTCATCCACTGCCAGGCCGGTGTCTCCCGATCTGCCACCATMGTTATCGCGTACTTAATGAAGCACACACGCATGACCATGACGGATGCCTACAAATTTGTCAAAGGCAAACGACCAATCATTTCCCCCAACCTGAACTTTATGGGGCAATTACTGGAGTTCGAGGAAGACCTGAACAACGGCGTCACCCCACGAATCCTCACACCAAAGCTGATCGGCGTYGAGACTGTCGTGTGACAGCCAGGCTGCGAAGGGGCTTAGGCTGTTCCTCACCTGGTTTGGGGCAGCGATGGGTGGGTTGTGGGGTTTTCTTTTTAGCTTTCAAAGGGGAGTTTTGTGGCAAACCTTTTGTGAATAAAAACCTTTTTTTGTAAGGAAAGGTTTTTAAAAGATCCAAGAACTTTGCTGGGTTTGGGATGCTGTTGCGGTTTCCTTCTCAGACGCCAGCAGAGCAGGGAGGCTTCAGAGGAAAAGGAGTACTTTTTAAAATAAAAACAAGAAGAAGAAGAAGAAGAAATATTGGGCTTTTTTTCTTTCAATTTTTATTTTTCCCTCCTCTCCGGCTACTTGTAGAGATTATGGCTAAGTAGTCTGTGCAGGTTCATAGACTGAAGAAACCTAAGTTGAAGACAAAACACAAACAGCCAAAACAAAGCAGAAAAAAACTCCCTCCCTGAAACAGAAGGGCCTTCGTTCTGCAAAGGCTTTGCTAGAGATAACCTAGCAAAATGCTCACTGATGCAAAGGAAATCAGAGCAGCTTAAAAGTCTGCAAGGCACTTTTCACACTCCTGACTCAAACTAAAGAAGAAAAAAAAGTTTATTTGGCGTGTTTCATGTTCCAGTTCTATTTTTCTATTTTGGGATGTAAGGTTTTAACAGTAAGGGACTTCGATCATTCTATGCCATATGCCTTCACTGGCTTCTTGTGCAATAATAATTTGGGGTTTGTTTTGAGTGTTCAAACCAATTAAGAGTTGGCTGCCCACTAATAATARGATAATAATTTTTAAAGTCTAATAGTGCAACAGCAGCCAGCTTGGTTCAGAAAGGCTAAATGAGAGCAATTATTTTGTTCCTTTATATGATTTTGATCCTGGTTACAGTGCCATAAACCTTGTTACATATGTATATCAGAATGTACAAAAATGTAGAATGAGSAAAGTTTATTTAAAAATATTTTTCGCACAAAATATTGGTGTGTTTCAGTTGTCTATGTAAAAGAAATTTGATTATAAAACAAAAAGCTTTTGGAAACTGTGTGTCCTTTTATTTCTTTAGCCATTTTCCATTTTCTTTCTATGGGATGGGGTTTTTGTTTTGTTCCTTTGGTTTGTTTTTTTGTGGCATTGTACCTCTCCCACTGACAAAATTGATATCTCGTTTGGCATCTCCCCTTCAGTGTTACGTTCCTGTCCTCTGCTGGTGGAAGATGTCTTCTTTATTTTCTGCTGTACTCTTGCATTTCTCAGTTTCTGTAACCAGATTTTCTCTCGTGTTTGACTGAATTAGCACTGTTGGTGAAGGCTCTTTGGAACAGACCTGTTACTTCTACAGCTCAGTAGCCATTTGGAAAAATAAGAAATAAACAATCTCCACTGATTCCTTTCCATATTCCTGTAATGAACTTATCTTCTATGTTACAAAATTGTCCGTTTTCTAGAAATACATTGGTCATGTGTGCTTTTTCTTGGCCTCTCTATAGCCCCCTTGTTTAGCAGTTCCACAATTCCTGGGAATCCTCCTCCTGGGATTTTCCCCTCCCTCTTGCCCCTCTTCCCTTCATGCCCCTCTTTTTCCAGCTGTATCAGTGTTGTGTGGTGTGTATTGTAGGGCTGATGTTTCTGCCTGACAGTGTCCCTTGGGCAGCTGACTTTTGCTTTCCTTGTTTGTATTCACTTTTTTTTTTTAATGATATGGTATAACCTAATCTGTTCTGGACTGTTACCACCTCTAAAGTTTATTTGTGTGAGCCTAAAATGAGTTAGAAAACATTTCTTGTATGATTCTGTTGTGCAAACTGATCTGTCCCAGGAAGTCTGGTAGCAGTGAAGGCTTTTCCTAGATGAAAACCTCCATRGACTGAACCAAGTGTAAAACAGGACCTGTTGGAAAACTTAATGTATAATCACATTAGACATGTATATTTTTGTGGACATTTTACTTAAAATGTTGTTACTATACAGATATTTTCTTGGAACTTATCCCTTTATTAAATTATTTTTCTACTGGAGTTGATTTTTTTTAAATTTTTTTTTTTTCTTTCCATGATTATTATTAGTCCTTTTGTTTAAAACATCCTTGGCAGTGAGTGTTGTAAAGCCTCTTGCACTGGGACTGCTCCTGGAGCTAAGGAGAGAGTGGCTGGACAGGGAAGGTGCTGTTTGATCATTGGGAGCCTTTACACTTTGGGAAGCAAGGAGGTGCCTTAGCAAAGCTGCTTTGCTTCCCTCCCTCCCCTCTAACTCGTGTTTGGGCCCAACCTCTCCCAGCTGTCCATGAACTGCAGGTGCCCTTTGTTAGGTAGGAGGGAAGAGGTTGGAAAACCTTTCTTGCCAGAGAACCCAAAGCAGCAGCAGCAGCAGCAGCAGAGCTGAGGGCTGGCTGAGGAGTTGGTCCTTGCAGCCTATTTGTGACCGTGAACAGTGTGTAACAGCACTGGGGAAACAGCACAGGGAAACAGGTTACTCACCCAAGGGACCCAGCATGGAGGGAAGGAGGACTCGATTCAAAACTGATCTTCCATGTCACTGCTTTTCTTGTTGCTGTTTGAACACCTCGAGGGGGAGGAAGGTTGTGCTGCACCAACGCGACTCAGCACCCTCGCCCTGGCTCAGCCTCGGCCGCCGCACGCTGAGGGCATTAGGATGAAGTTTGCAGCCATGTGAGTACTGGTGTTTAATTCTTACTTAGGCCAGTGGGGAGCTCTGGCCACCTGGAGCGAGTCCCTGGTAGCAGAGGATTCTGTGTTTTGCATCAGTGAGGCTGGGCAGCGTGGCTGCTGCTGCTGCTCTGTGCATGGATGTGGAGCTGGAGTTTCTGCTGCAGGAACGCTGCCAGCCTGTGCTTGTCACTGTGAGGAGCAGCGCCTGATTTGGGCTCCAGTGTGATCTCAGAAAGGATGGGGCAGGGCAGTGCAAGGCTGTGAGTGAGTGGAGTTTGCTGTGAGTGGTTGGTAGTGGGGATGGGCTGATCAAACCCCTCCTTTGTGCCGACCATTTCCTTGGAGGGCTCTCCGGAGGGTTATGCCTCTGGAACACTGCGAAAGGGCAGYCTGGGAATTGCTTCACCAGGGAACAGATTGGAGGGAAATGCTGATTTTTTTTTTAAGGTGGAATTTATTGAAGCTAGTAAATCCTCACTTAGCATCTTTATGCCGTGGGTAGGAGAAATTCAGGGAGGGTTTGCCTGAGGAGCCCTGCCTGTGTGGCTTTTGCATCCTTTCTGCTACCCAGTGTGATGCACTGTGAATTTGTGCCTGCATGTCAGTAGAGAGCCTCTGCCTGAGGGCTACACACTCCTAGCTAGAAAAAAAAAATAAAAAATGTGCCCTCATTTCTGCGAGGGAGCAAGGCTGAAAGGATGGGGGCCAGACTTGTGATGGGGTTTAGAAATATTTTGGGTGCTCTAGTGCTGGAGCAGCCAAAAAGGTCATTTATGACTTTAAGGACAGAGTTGAGGCTTGATCATCCATCCCTTGCTCTCACTGCTGGCTGTGACTCCCCCCTCAGCCACTCCAAGATGAGACACAGTTAAAAGAATGGGAAAATAATTCCGTGGCCTTTGATTCACACTTGGGTCTCAGTGAGACCAGGACCTGCTTTTCCCTGCTCGGCATYAGCGCTACGCTCTGGTGTGAGGTGTGCTAAAATAGGCACGGTCTTGGAAAATTGAATCCCTCATAACTCATTTTCCATTTCTCCCCTGAGTGCTTGTTTCTGAGAATATCGCCCAGGTSCTGTGAGTGGGTCCCTGAGATCCAGCTGGCAAAGTAAGGCTGGCAGCGTGTTGGGAGCAAGTGCTACTTCTGGTTGTCAGTTTGCTTTCTCKTGACAAATGGTGACCTATCAATGTGTGAGCCTGTTGAGATCTGTTGTAAAGCTCTGTTAAAGCTAAAACTGTTCAATTCATCTGTCTTGCAAGCTTTCCTGACTTTAGGGTTGGACTTCCAGAGCCAAGAAATTGTTTAACTTTTAAGCAGCTCATACGTTTTATTCTTCTTGGTCATGCTGGGTCTCATTGAATCCCCCTTTTTGTCATTTCAGATGATTTTGTGAGACTTCCTATGGCCTTACCTTTCACAGATGTGCTGGTATCCTTTGGGAAAAGGCAGGTGAAAGATCCCTCCCCTATCCTCTTGACAGACACAGACTGGGGATGTTTTGAACCCGAGCAATTGTGGGGGAAGTCCATTGGTGCCTTACAGTCACAAGATGTGCAGGCTACGTGTGTTCAAAAGCACAGGCAGGAGGCTGAGGAGCCACAGGGAGTGTGGGAAAGGCAGATGGGGGATTGTTTTGGCCTCCAGTCTTGCTTAGCTGTGGTGGAGCTGGCTCCCAGTGCGTGTACCACCAGCAGCAGGAAGGCCTCTGGGAACTGAAGATGCTGATTCAGTAGGGAGAGCAAAAAAGCCTCTGGGAACTGAGGATGCTGATTCAGTAGGGAGGACAAAAATAAAGCCTGCTATCTCTTGAGTGAGCTAAGGAGGGGATCAAAGGGAGATAATAAGTAGTTGAGGGCTGTCTCATTAGCAGGTATCTGCTTTCCTGTGGCCTCTTTGTCTGCTGTTCCTGTAGATACCACAGAGGAGTTACTGACAAGTCGGTTCCATATTGTCTGAGCCAGCCTGGGATCAGTAGCCAGTAGTCAGAGCCATTTATTTTCCCAGTGAGTGTGCATCTGCTGGAAAAAAAGTTCAGGTTCTGCTGTGTTTCCAGGAGTAATCCTGGGTGCTGCCAGCCCCCGTCATCCTTTCACTGTTGGGTGCAGTATTAGTCTCTGCTCAGTCCAGTGCTCCTTTTGCTGAGGGTTTCTTTCCTCTGCCGTCTCACTCCATCTCTTAGGCCCTTCCGTGGATTGTAAGCTGGAGGAGCAGGCTCCTTTCTTGTCTGGCTTTAGCTGTCTTCTGCATCTTTTCCAGTCTTGTCATTCCCCAGACTGGAGGAAAGCAACTCAAATTCAGTCATTTTTAAGGCATGTTGCAGCAGGATGAATGTTTCCAATGACCCTGATGGGCTCCTGCTCTGATTTGGTATTATCCAGGTAGCATCTCTTCTCAGGACCCCAGAGTCCAAGGTGTCCTGCAATTCCAGCCTCTTACTAGAAGCAAAGGGCACTGTTGGGATGGCAGCATTGCATTATTTCCATCACCTGCTGAGCCTCAGGCTGGTGTCCACTTGGTGCTGCCCAGGTGAGCTGTGAGCCAGAATGAGGGATTTGAGCAGAACTTGCTCAAGGTGCAGCCAGAAATCCTGCTGCTGTCTCAGTGACTGACCTGCCCTGCTCTTTGCATCTTCATGGAGCCAGTATCCTGCAGCATGTAGAGATGCAGTCCCTGGCCTTGGAAGCTGTCTGAGGTTCTGTTGAATTTGGCTTGATCCAGTCTGGCTCAAATCCTGCCCGGTGAGATGTCCATCTGTTCAGCATCTTCCCGGGCTGTGATGGGAGTTTGTCAGACTGAGCACAGAGCCTGTGAGCTCCTGCCTCAGGGCTGGGTTCATTTCAGTGGCAAGGAAAAAACAACCTGAAGGGTTATTCCTGAGGAAAAGAGTGGCTGTATTTTGGAGGGGAAGAGTTCAGCACAGTACAGAAACACTTGAAAAAACCTTCATGTGAATCAGAGAGTAAACTTAAAAATGTAACCAACTATTTCTGTTAGATAAATCACTAAACCAGAGGTTAAATAGGGTTTGACTTACATGTCTTGTCTTCACACTTCTGTACCTTAGTTTGTCTGATTGTTTATATATAAAGAAGTGACACTGGAGAGCATGGATTAATCCTGAAGATTTATTTGTCACTGAGAGATGAAGGAGCTGTCTGGCACTTGTGGGTTTCATATCAAGTTGCGCKTCTGGCAGACGGCAGTGGAGCATTTAAAGAAGATCGCATTGTAGAGCAGCACAGTAAGTTGCTATAAGGACGGGCAGTTTTGTCTGTGATGCAGGGACTCAGGACAGAGAGCTGCTGGATTGTAGGATCTCTCTCTGCTCCAGGACACATTACACCTGGACACAGGTACAAAATGCCAGAGGCAGCAGCATCAGTGAGGGTGTATTCAGGCTGGTTGTTAAAATCCACTGGGGTGATAGAAGGGGGTGCTGGTGTGAAAAACTGAGAGCAGCTGACAGCTGGCTGAGGAGCTTCTCATGTTTTCAGAGGTCTGAACAAGGTCTGGCAGGCCTGAACCAAGCTTTGCTCTGCTGGCATCCTTTGGAAGCTCTTTTCGAGGCACACAGCTTTGATGCAGTGTTGTGCATCTGCCTCAGTGCTTTGCTCTGTCTTGTAACACTTCAGCAGCTGGGACMAAACGTGTGCAGTTCCTGATGGCAGCTTGTAGGGATTCCTTTCCAGGGGGAAGCAAACTGGTGCCGAGGGGCACACGGATGGTGTTTGCCTCTTCTCAGTTTTGAGCTGTGCCCGCTGAGGGCTGTGGTGACCATCAGGACATGGTGTGGAGTCCAGCTKTTGGCCTGCTGGAGTGCAACCTGTGGAGAAACTCTGCTGGGCTGGGGTCTGTGACAGCAGCTGGAAGGGATGCTCCAGTCCACTGGGTGAACTTGCTTCCAGCTGACTTGGCTGAACTGTCAYATGAGTAGCAACAGTAACAATCTCAGAAAGTTTGAAGAGTCCAGTTCCACTCTGAATTTGGAAGCATATTAAGGATTTGATGCCCAGTCACAAATACRTAACCTTTGTCAGGGAATCCAGGCAGATAAAGTTTACAGCTCCATAGGATGTGTAGAAAACAGWGCATGGTGTATATGAGAGGATTTGGCTTATTTGGAAATGTACTCTGCCTCTAAGTATCATCTACACTTGCAAATAACAATATGGATGCAGGAATCAAGACCTCATCCTTTAGACAGGTGTTGTCTCTCCCATTTTGCAGCTGGGGTGGATCAGAGGGATGTCCACGGTGACACCTCAGAGGAACAGAGCCCAGGGGCTAGAATCCCTCCTCCTTTACTAATGTAACAAAACAATTTCTTAAACCTTCAGCTGGT